GAACTTGCACAATTGGTGGCTGACTAAATACTTTTTTGCCCCACTGTATGTATATGTATATACTAAATTAAAGTAATATAACTTCACATTTTATAATCATAATTTAAAAAGGAAAAAAAATGGGTCTAGCAAATTATGTTATACACAAAACAGTTCCTCAGAAATGTTGCCAATATTGCTTGAAACTCTTCCTTTCTCCTTTGTCAGCATCTAAATGATTTTTTTTTCCTTGACAAACAGCACAGATCAGCAATTCATTGCTACAAATGAGATGTAGATTTCATCTTTCAATGCTGTGTAATTCTTTTCACCATTCTCTGTACCTGGAAAATCTACTATTCTCGATAGATAACCTGCTTTTTCTTGACTGAGAAACAGTTGATTATTGACATCTGAACAGGCCAAAATATTAAACCATATTTTCAAATTGGTTAAATATTTTGTTTTATTCTAAAAATGATACTTACTTTCTTGGTGCCTTTTTGATTTGAATCTTATTTTTTTTCCCTATTCCAAACTAGTTACAGTGCTTCAGAAAACAACCTCAATTTAAGTGTGTCTTTTTGTGGGCTAAGAGGTTTCAAATTCTTATAGTGTCTGTTTTCTGTAGAGCCGTGGTTCCCAAATTGTGTGTTGTGGCTCCAGGGCACCTCAGCAAACTCACATGAGCGCCGCAGGATTGCAAATTATCAGTTTAGGCCTAGGGTCATGAAAAAATGACTGAGACATCAAGGGCACCATGAACCGACAAAGTTTGGGAAACTCTGCTATTGATCATAAAAAGACAATTGTTTTTAATAACAGGATTTAAAAAAAAAATTTACAACAATGCAACTTGCAAAAAAGAAGAAAAGTACAGTGTCACTGTAATTTTTGTCTGATTGACTCATACTGCATTATATTTAAGGAAAATTTAATCTGATTTTGTGTTGTGCTGCACAATTACACAGCACCGTGTAAGACCCTTTCTTTGGCAAGCACATTAAAATAAGAACTAAGATAAATCATCTTAAAATCCTGTTTTCTAAAACTCTAGTTTTCAGGAAACTGATAATGCTTGGCATGGTGGATGTTTGGCACTGGCTGAATTGGGAAGAAGAGGATTGTTACTACCTTCCCGACTATCAGATGGTAAGTGTTTTGTAACCTGAGTTAAGCACAAACACACACACACACACACACACACACACACAGACACCCAAAAACGAAACAAAACAAAAGCTTTTGGTTTGGTAGAATTATATGTTAGTAAACAGAGCCAGCTTTAGGCTATGGCCAGGTAGGCACTAGCCTAGGTTTCCAAAGCTTAGGGGTTACCATTGCTGACCCTCCTTCTGAATAGTTCTAAATGTGCACATTTTCTCATCAGTGGGAGGTGGTACCATCAGTCACTGTGGCCTAGGGGTGCCATATACCCTTGAGCTGGTGCTGTTTGTATGTTCAAACTCTGAGAGAGATTTACATCATGGCCACTTGGACATTCCTCTCTTATCATTTAAGATAATGACCTCCTTGCCAGTGTACTCCCTTAGTAAAAGACTTCTGTAGATTTCTGTAATATTATTCTGGTCTCTTCAGTAAAAGAAACCTAGAGAGAGTCCTGCTTTCTGTTGAAGTGGGATGCCAAGAGTGTTGTGGCTCCAGGGCATCTCAGAAAACTCACATGAGTGCTGCAGGTTTGTAAATTATCACTTTAGGCCTAGGGTCGTTGACAATGTCTTATATGATAGCTATAGCACTTTTCTACTCCAATGCTTTTTATACTCTCTATAAAATATTTAAGTGGTATTCCTTACTGCTGACTCATGTTTGGTAGGCTTGCAGATTTACCATCTTTTTTGAATCTTCAGTTTTCTTTGCCCATATTGTGACATATGTCAACTTTTGCTATTACTTCTTTTTTAACTTCCTTCAGGCATGAGGTGTTGCATTGTGCTATCCCTTGAAATGTTTTGAAAAGTGTTTGAAACATGTATTTGCTTCACCCAGCTGTACCAGAATAGAAAAGAAATGAGAGTTCACATGCTTCTCATTACATTTACTTTTGGTTTCAGTTCTTTATGTAAGCAGCCTACATCTAAGATTTTCTAATGTGGGATTATGGGAGAATGCTTTTCAGTGACTAAACTCAGATTTCCGAAGCGTCTGTCATGAGTTTTACTCCTTCCTTCCTTCCTTCCTTCCTTCCTTCCTTCCTTCCTTCCTTCCTTCCTTCCTTCCTTCCTT